AAGCAGCACCCCGAGTTGGCCAAATGTTATATATATATGCAGCAGGACACATGCTCTCTTTGGGAGTGCTGACAGTTTGACCTTTGGTTTGAAACCAAAACAAACCAACATAAGGTTATGTCAGTGGTTCATTCATTAGCTCTGAACAAAGAAATCGTTTTATCATGGTACTGGTTTCTATACTATTTACGTTTAGATATGACTGTTTATGACCTGGTCAGCCAAATATAGCCCAGCTTTGTTTCGAGAACTGATGAGGAAATATTCTTCTGTGCTAGCATGTGGGTGCTTCCAGAGCCTTCAAGGAAGTGTGACGCATGCAAGGATTAGTTTTCAGTAANCTTTATCAGTTAGAAAGTCAGTGTCAGACTGTCATATATTTCTTTGTATATCATTTTTATTCTGTCTTGGAAGAGGTCTAAATCCACTGAGCCAGTGTTACTTTGTGAGTAAAAGGCATCTTCGCCACCACGACTTTCAGTATGTGTCGGAGTGGCACTCTTTTCGACCAGTATTATAATTACTTTGCATCACTATTTTGTGAGTATTACTAATAGGTGAGTGTGTCACTTTGTCAATCAACATAATTTATTCGATTCTGCTAGAAATCCCCCTCCCCCAACATGATTCTTCAATTGCACAAGGAGAATATCATGGTCAGTGGCGTTTCTCCGGGGGAGGCAAAGGTTATCTGGGGCCCACCTGAGTCAACTGGAGGTGAAACATTCACAACACTGGTCAACCAAAGGGAAACAAAGACGTCATGTGTTTCGCTAAATAAGAAAAGCAGGAGCATGCTCTTCTATTGTAAAAAGTGTGATGTCTCTCTGTGTGAGGTGGATTGCTTCGAGAAGTGCCACGGGCGTCAGAGTGTATCGTAAACTGTGAAGTGACGTAGTTCAAACTCGTGTACAGTCTGAACAAAACATTATTTTATATACGAGTATAGTGTGATCATATTTATAATATCACCATGATTCAAGGTTGAAGAAAAAACAAATGGGTAAGTCCTCTGGAATTTCATAACATATATAATAAAGATTATATTTTGCATTTCATGACAAAATAATCACAGTTAATTTTCGTTTTAAAACTTGCTCTTTTGTGTATATATAGAAAATTTTATTGTCTTTCAGGTTATTTTTAGTTCACATTTCTATGTTGCATAGAACAGAAAATATGTATTTTTTTCTTAAAGTTTGCAATGTTAATTAATTAGGGCGATTTAAATACCGGCTGCAGAGGGCTCCTGGCAATTTAAAAGTCCGTATGTTAAAGGTTAAAGGGTTTTGCAATCAAATTACCTGTCTGACCTGCAACAATGCTCCTCAAGTCTGAAATGGACAGGTTCCTGTTGGTTAATATTCTAAATGCCATGCACACCTGAAACAATATTTAGAAAATATTATATTTCAACTTTCAGAGTGAAAGTCACAACATTTCAAACTAACTGATAATTCTAAACGACGAATTATTATTGCACAAAATGTGAAACACACTGTTCGAATAAATCAAAGTAGTTATTTTCCCATTTCATCCAACCTTACAGTGGCTCACTTACAGCCTTCTTCTGCATACCGAACACTCTTGTATCACGCATTCTCCTACCTCAGGCTGTTCAAGTGCTGTTCATCTTGGAACCACCCTCTGTTACCTTATAACAAAAGATGCATAAATAATAATGGAAGATACTTACATCTGCTAGGCAGAGTTCTCCTGAACCAGTTGTGTCAAGAGCATCAAATGCTTCCCTCAACTTGCTGCAATAAGAGCGAATGAGTGTCTCGATATGGTGATACATTAACAGGATACAATTTCACTCTCTAGGAGTGGAATAAACTAAGCAAGAAAGAACAATCTGTGTCTGCTAAATAACCATAACCTCCCTACGAGAGTTTTGTTCCTCAACCCTATTTCTATAAAAAAAAAGTTATGCTCTAAGAAAACCCTTGCATCTTTAAAGCAGGTAGGCATTTATGTCTGGCCATATGGTCGTTCAGACTATTACATGTTTGGTAGTTGTGGCGAGCTATAGCCTTTCTGCTATGTGCAATGAACCAGCTGCTGGCTCTCTCCTACTTGACCACCTGCACCAACAGTAAAAGAGTGAAGGTCATTCATTCACTTTCAGTATCTGCCTTACACCTCTCGGACAATTAACTGTGTCTGCATACGAAGGGGGACACAAAAATAACCGGAACCGACCTGTTGCGCGCGCATGCTTTGTAGTTACGAGTTGTGCTGCTAGGTGGTGTTAGCTGGGGGTCTCCCGCGACTGTTAGTGAGCTGGCGTCAGTCTGAGTTAAGTGGTTTGTCTGTGGTGCTCTGTTGTGTGCGTTCCTGTTTCAACCCTTTGGCGATTAGTGAGATGGCCGACCAGAAGGAACAAAGAGTGTGCGTGAAATTTTGCTTTCTGTTAGGGAAAACTGCA